GCTGTCCCAAAGAGACCTTGGGAAAGCGTTTCCCTGGATTTCATCACCGGATTGCCCAAGGTCGGAGATCTCACAACTATCTTGGTTGTGGTGGATCGGTTTTCCAAGTATGCTACCTTTATTGCAGCCCCACAATATATATCAGCAGAAGATACAGCTCGACTTTTCTTCTCTCATATCGTCAAATAATGGGGCCTACCCAAAGACATTGTTAGTGATCGCGACTCACGCTTCACTAGCAACTTTTGGGCCCAGCTCTTTAAGTGCCTTGGGTCAAAATTGAGTCACAGCTCAAGTTTTCATCCGCAATCTGATAGCCAGACGGAGCGGTTCAATGGTATGTTGGAGGAATATCTCCGCCACTTTGTAGCCGAATCTCAGAAGAATTGGGTGAAGATTCTGGATGCTGCTCAACTGTGTTTCAATTCACAAAAGAGCTCTAGTACAAACAAAAACGCTTTTGAAATTGTTAGTGGAAAGCAGCCGCTATTCCCACACACAGTGAATGCACCAAGCATGTCTAAATCTCATCGAGCTGCTAGCTTCTCAAAAGAGTGGAAGTGAAATTTGGAGATGGTGCGAAGCTATCTTGTCAAAGCTCAAAAGCGGATGAAGAGGCATGTTGATCAAAATCGCCGCTTTGTTGAATACCAAGTAGGAGACAAAGTGATGGTCAAAATCCCAAAGCGGTACTTATTTGCGGGGGTCCATGACCCTCGCCTATTGCAAAAATACATTGGACCCTTGTCCATTGAAAGGCGCATTGAGAAAGTTGCAAACCGGGTGGATACCCCAGCTTGGTGGAAAATTCATCATGTCTTCCATGTCAGCCTCTTGAAACCTTTTCGGGAAGACACGGAGGATCCTTCACAGAGCCAGCTCACAATACCCAGTATTCGAGGTCCCAATTCAACCGGGAAAAAGCGTGTTGAAGCTATCCTTGATGATAGAGTGATTCATGCCTCAAGGAAAGATCACCAAGAGTTCTTGGTGAAATGGCAGGGTTGTGATGCAGAGGAGAATACTTGGGAGAGGGGAACAAACCTCAAAGCCTACAAGAGCCTCATTGAAGATTATTTTGCAAGTAAGGCGCCGAGGACGTCGCTAACTCAGGTGGGGGTGAATGTCATGGGCGGCGTTCCAGCCATGCCCCATGACCCCTTGGGCGCGCTCCGTGGCGTCCTAGCAAGCCTCCCAATGCCTAGCGCCACGGACGGCCCCGTAGTCTTGGCCGCACCAAGTGACAAGCGCGCATGTGCCTCTGTCGCCCCACCGATATCCCTCGCCAGCATCCAGCCGCAGGCAGATGCCAACAGCGCCGCGCACGCAGACCGTGATGCCAAAGACAATGCTGTTGACAACGGACCTGTTTCTGCCTTGGAGAAAACTAAGTCCTTTTCATTGTAAATATAGAGTAGTTTTATTTCATGTACTTCAATTATGTTTTTCTAGCTTAGTCAAGTCTAGTCTTGTAGCTTTGGTTTATTTGTTTTAAGCATTATTGGGGGGATCAAGCAATCAAACTTTCTAGCAAGCAAACAATTCTCTATACTGGTGTCTCTCCCCCTCGACACCGTGTTGCTTTTCTGTAATAGCTTTCATTAATGCAATCAAGCTTTCTTTCATTCTCAATTCTCATTTATGTTCTCTCAATTGCTCTTGACATTGGTTTTCCCGTACGGTACTAACAATCTCGTCTAGCGTACGGAGGGGACCTCAGTTGGCGGACAGTAACTGCAGTGACATCAGTTGCTTAGCCTTACGTCACCTTTCCAAGGAATCTCAGGAAGGCGCCGCGTAACATTACATATGGTCCAAATAGGTCTCATGAGTAAACGATAGGTACATATCCTTTGTTTTGGTTTTTCACCCGAAATTCGGTATTTGCATTGGGTCCAATTTAATCGGAATTTATATCTTTAAATTATATATTGAAAAGTAAAATGCTCTTTAATAAAGATGACTCTGTGCACAGAGCTCGAACTCGACATCTCGAATAAAGAAATAAAGAAATATTTATCACTCTGTGATCTTTGTTGGCGACAGGTACATATCTATTCTAATCATATTGGTCTGGAACAACAGGAGATAATTGGCACTACTTCCTATGGTCTAGGGTATCTGCTTTCTAATGTTTTTGTACTCTGTTTAAAAAGATACTCTCCGGGTCCATAATAAATGACCAATTTGTCTTGGCACACCCATTAAGGAAATACTAAATTTTAGACAAAAATAGTTGGTGTGACTAAACTACCCTTAATTAAATATTGCAGCATAATTTAATGTGAGGAGTAAAAGACTTTTTAGGGATACGTATATAAGGGTAATTTTGGAAAAAAAAAATTGAATTTTTTCTTGATTATATAAATGGGCACTTATGTTGGACCAAAATAAAAAGACAAATTGGTTACTTATTGTGGACCGGAGGGAGTATTTAACAACATTAATTATAATATTATTTGTGCAATTGTCCTTAATGATCTCTCCTAAAGCGTCTTAATTAATATATTTCACTTAATTGAAACAATGAAGGTAAATTTGGAGAAAAAATGGCTTCTTGTTTTTTTCTTCTAACAACTAATATCTCGAAGCAATTTTATTTGCAAAAAATGATTTAGGATTTGAGGCAAGAGGCAGTACTACTAGTGGTAATTCTCATTTAAGTAGCAATGATGGTTCCCAAGAGAGTGGATCCTGCCATTCTCCTACATGTTGCAATAACTAATTAATGGGATGTTGTGTGATAGTCTGGTAAGAAAGCACTGATGCAACCTAATTAACAACACCAAAAATAGATATTTGTCATCTGAAGGTGGAACTCCCACCACTTTAATTGGTTGCTTACATGTGGGAAGCTTACATTTTGAAGGGGAGCTTTGGAGTAACAGTAAAGTTGTTTTCGTGTGATGTATAGATTTAGGGGTTCGAGCCGTAAAATCAGCCACTAATACATACATTACAATAAGCTGTCTACATTACATCCCTTAGGGTGCGGCTCTTACCCGAATCCTACGTGAATACGAAATACCTTGGGTACCGGACTGCTTTTTTATTTATTTGTATGGGAAGCAAATGCAACCTGGTGCATGCATAAGTTAAATGCAACTCTAGTTTTTAGATGGTTTAATTTCTACACTTTTTTTTTAAACTTCCATTTCTAATTTTTTCATGGGCCCCAGCAAAATTATAAGGTATTTTGTGACTACAATACCATGGGGCAGAAAGATTAATAGTGCACCTTTTTGCATGTATATATACCTTGGCATATTTCCCCTCCACAACCAGCAAACCCAAGACAAACATCTTTTTTCTCTCTCTCTCTCTCTAGTGTCCTTGCACACATATATATGCATTGTGACCAGAGCTCAAATTAACGAAGTCTGGTCCAAAAATATGATGAAGCAAAACTTATATTTTCTGTTACTTCTTCTTGTTGTTTCCATGCTCATGTCTTCACAAGCATCTGCTCGTTTCTTAGCAAACAACCAAGGTAATTAATTAATTAATTAGTGAATGCTTATGTCCTTCTTTTTGTACAATTACTCTAGTTACTTGTGCTAGTTGAAGGTAACAACAGGTGCCTAGTGATCAATATCAAGATGAACACAAACCGGTCTAAACATCACTCTTATAAAAAAGAGTTATTGTATTTAAGCTTAATTGATTGAGTAAATTAACAAAAGCTTTTGAATCACTGCAGAGAAAGGGGAGGTAAAGCTCCCTAAAACCATCGGTGGAGATTCTATTGACAAGATGGAAACTACTGATGATTCAAATGTAATTTTCTTGCCTTATCTCTTATTCTTTTATCCCTCCGTGTCAGACAACTTCAGAAAGGGAATATTGGAGCAACGATAAAGTTCTTTTCGTGAGACTTATAAGTCACGGGTTCGAGCCGTTGAATCATCCATTGATACTTGCATTAGGGTAGACTACCTACATTATCACACTCACTTGAGATGCAATCCTTCCCTGGACACAGAATACTTCGTGCGCCAAACTACTTTTTTTTGGTTGGAGAGCTGCAGAATTTTATCAGCAATATTAATTGTGTTTTTTTTGTTTACACTTTGTAGAAGTTGATGGGAGAAGAGGAATGTGATGATGGAGATGAAGAATGCTTTAAGAGAAGGGTTATTGCTGAGGCTCACCTAGATTACATCTATACTCAACACCATAATCACCCTTGAGAGAAACTAACTACTTAATAAGCACTAGTGTTTCTCTAACCCATAACTATTTCCCAGATCTTTTACAACTCTTAAACATAAGCGGATTCAGAATTTTGACTTTGTGAATTCTGAATTTTAAAAAAGATAATTTATTGGGTTGTAAATAAATAATTTTAGGATTATGTTTAAGGATTTTAGTACTACTTGTTTCATCCAAGAAATCTAGCAAGTATACATATACCATGGTTGTTGCTATTATGTTTACTTATTTCATCCAGGAAATGTAGTGAAGTATATGCCATGGTATAGCATAAATCCCTCTTTGTGCTTATCTATTTGGTCTTATTTTTATTTATTATTCTCTTTCGTCCATATTATTTGCCTTTTAAGATTCTTTCGCACCCTTTAAAAAATACTATAATAACCTTAATTGTAAGAGTACGTCTCACTAAAGGCGGATCTACGCTTATAAAAGAGGGATTGGACCTTGTTAACTTCGACAAAAATTCTCTCTCTCTATATATATATATATGGAAAATGGTCACATATTTTGCTTCGAACCCATAAGATCAAAAGTCAGATAGAGACACTTTTCTATGTCATCTTCAAATCATGGGTCAACCTCTGCATCTCACCCCATTGATTGAAGAAGTAAGAGTATACTATATCTCAAGGAAGAAAAGAAAAAAAAACAATAAATGACTTCTTATATTTTTAAAATATCAAATATATGAAACAAATTTAATTTGCTAAAAAGACTGAACTGAAACGGAGTTAGTAGAGAACAAATGAAGAAGAAGATTAAAAAGAATGGGAAATATTATAAGTAATTTTAAAACATGATTTAAGGCGTGTGGTTTTTCGTTGTTAGAAACTGCGTGCAGAAGAGAAGTGTGAGATTAATTGGGGATGATGATAGTAACATATTAGATGGCAGTATTAATTGCAAAGTAGAAACACATAAGTTCCACTACCAAAAATAGCTGTACTGAGGCATTGCCAATTTGCCATGGAGCAGCTAACATATAGACCATGTAAGGCTGCACTGTGGGCGGGGGCCCAGCCCGGAACCGGCCCGGGACCGCGGGTCAAACGGGCCTAATGGGCCGGTCTCAGTGGGCCGGTCCCAAATGGTACTATAAGCCCGTAGCAGGCTGGTCTTGAACAATTAGCCCACGAGCCCGGGACCGCTAAGCCCGGGACCGGCAGGCGAGCCTGGGCCGGTTCAACCGGGCCAAACGGGCCTCAACGGCTATAATTTAAAAAAAAAAAAAAATTAAAAAAATGACCAACGGTCAGATTTTAAAATCTAGCCGTTGGCCATCAAAAAAGAGCCGTTTGGGACTTTAGAAAATAGCCATTTGGCCCCCAAACTTTATTTTAACCCCAAACTTTATATAATTACACTTTTTTCCAATTCTCAACTATAAATATCCCCTCATTCTTTTATTTTTACTCACAAATTCATCAATCTCTCTCAATCTACATCTAATTCTCTTCTATAGTTGCTTACTTTATTATTGCAATTTCGTGAAAAATTGTGAAGTTGGTGACTTCAAGTATTCAAGTCTTCAATTCTTCAACGATTTTCTATTTTCAAGAAGTTGTTCGTCAATTCGGTAAACTCGTTCCAACTCTTAAGTTTTAAGAATGTATTTTTGTTTGTTTTAATTTGCATAATTATAATTAATATGGCATTTTCTTTGAAAAAAATGTTTGATGGTAAGGGAAAATCTAAAATTGGTGAATCTAGTCGCCAAGCTACTACCCTTCCCCCGGCTCCCCGACTCAGACCTGTTACCCGTCCTCCTGCACCTATTATTCTTGATAGTGATAACCCTTGTTTTCAATTTTCCGATAGTGAATTTTGCCATGATGTTGCACCAGGTCAACAATTAAATGATGAAGTTATGAATGCTCTTTATCCTAATGAAACTATTTTTGAAAATGATGCTGAAAATGATGATGTAGATGAAACCCAACCGGATTTAGATGATACACCTACTAGTCCTGTTAATAACCCAACTGATGCCCCGCCCGACCCACCTGTAGAAACCCCTACTTTTAATAGACAACCTTCTAAACGCCACGAAACATCACTTGTTTGGAATTTTTTTTACTCAATTAAGAGAATAAAATAAGGCTAAGTGTAAAACTTGTGGGAGTTTGCTGGCGCATAAATTTACTGGAGACCGTAGCGGTACGGGTAGTTTGACTAGGCACATAAAACACACCCTAGAGATAAAGCTAAATTTTTTCAAATGAAAGCGCAGCTAGAGGGGACAAGTGTAGATACTACGGTTAACCCTAGTACATGTTCAAATCTAGTTCAACCAGGAATTAACACTGTGACCGGTGGTATTTTATATTACGATCCAAATAAAGATCGTGAAGAATTAGCAAAGATGGTTACCGTTATGTGCTTGCCCTATAGTTTTCCTTTTAACCCTCACTTTGTGCATTATATTAGAAGAGTTTTTAATCCTACTTATAAAGGTTGGCCTCGCGCAACCGTAAAGAGCGATATTTATAAATATAAACATGAATATGAACAATATTTGCGGTATTTATTTACTCATATAAATTATCGGATTGCTATTACTACTGATATTGGTAGAAGTAATAATGACTGTGATTATCTAACTGTTACAAGTCATTGGATAGATGAGGAGTGGATAATGCAAAAATGCATTATTGCTTATAGAATAATAATTCACGTCACACAGGTAAGTTACAATACTCATTTCTCTAATCTCATTTCTCTCTTTCTCCAATTTTCAAGACTTCAAGTCTCAATCTCAAATTCCTCAATTCTTCAATTCTCCAAGTTAAATCATGCCTCATACGAAAGAGTGCGCTCATTTTGTTTGGCAAACACTTTTGAGCTGCTAGAAGAAAATGAAGAAGGTCAGAAATTAAAGTGAAGAACTATGGTCAAGTCTTAAATTTTCGTTCAAGGGTCTGGCACAGGCAGTTTAAGGAGGCATATAAAAGTATTGTCCTTGAGCGTCATCCGGAAATTCGTATTTTAAGATTTTCGAGCAATTTGTGGTTATTTAAAATTATTAAGAAGTATTTATGCTTAATATTTTAGTTTGTTAGATTAATTGGAAGTATATTAATTTATTATGCATGAAATTTTAGTTTTTTTTTTTTTTTGTTAATTTACTTTTTCAAATGAAACGTTAATTATATATACTTATATTATTTATATAGCTATAATATAAGCAATTTATATTATATATACATATAATAGTTTACAAGAAAATTGCTTTAAGAAAAAATTACCAAAAAAATAGCCCGGATGAATAAAGCCCGTTAGGCCCGTGGGCCCAGCCAATTTAGCCCGGACGCATGTGGGGCTTTCAGGACCGTCGTGGGGCTGGTTCCACCCATTGGGACCGTGAAGGCCCGGGACCGCTAGGTCCCAGCCGCCAAAGAACCGTCCCGCCCTAAGCCGGATACGTTTTGCCCGGCCCGTTTGGCACCGTTTTAGGGCCCGGGCCCAGACCCAGAATACAGCCTTATGACCATGTCTTAATATAGTAACTAAGAGTTATTTACTTAGACAGTTTGAGAAGTTGCATAGAATTTGATTTGATCACAAATCTGCGTATTTCGTTGTGCTTAATAAGTTACGGGTTCGAGCCGTTGTAAGCAGCCACTAATGCTTCATTATGTTTAGGTTGTCTACATCATAACCCTTAGAGTGCGATTCTTACTCGGACCCTGCATGAATGCGAGATATTTTGTTTGCACCGAGCTATCTTTTTTACAAATTTGCGTAGAGTTCGTCAGTTAGCGACCTCTATAGAGACGCTACTTAGTCATACTTTGAAATTTATGGGTTCTGCTAAACTTGCCTTCAAAATCGTAGCTCGTCTTAATTACTAGGTTCTAAATTTATACATATTTTTTAAATTTTCTAATACCACAAATACAAGATGAATTGAACCACCATAGCAAAGGAATGACTTCAACTATTTTCGTGATATTATATATATATATATTATATATATATATATATATATATATATATATATATATATATATATACTGTACTCAGGGCGGATTTA